AGCCTGGTTTTTATGTAAGCCAGAAGCACTAAATACGTCCCGACCCTTTGAATTAAAAATGTCTCTTTGTATATGTGTGTGTATATAAAATATTTTTTCATTTTAATGTCATTTGTGAAATAATACATATTTAATAAGAGAGGACTGGTTTTTGTAGAGGAATTGGAAAATTGTTCTTTGACTAGGTGCCAAATAAAGAATAGCTTTTACCATGTATTGAACACATGTTACGTTTGACATTTTATGTTTCATCTCAGTACTTGTAAAAATCTTAGGAGTTGGGTATTATCTCCATTTCATAGATAAAGAAATTATAGGAAAGGTGGAAGCCCTATATGAACCCCAGGAACTGGCAAGTATAAAATTAGCAGAACTCTTAAAAATTAGCTGATACGGTCAGTATGATTGTGAGATTTTTCAGGTATATTCATTTTTCTTCAATTTTGACTATAACCACTTCCCTTTTGTGTTCTTTCCCCTAAATAATTATAACTTGAAAGTCACTTCTAATAGTTATGGAAGAAGAAAGTTATAAACTAAAATGATAAACTCTGTTGGTAAGTCTTCAGCTACAAATAATGGAATTAATACTAATTTTGTAGGCTTGAGTGGGATTTTCACTTCAGACTTGAATAGGTTTATCCAGCTTGCCTTCTGTATGGAATTCATCCCAGTAATATAACTTGTCTTCTGTATGGAATTCATCCCAGTTACTCTACAATTTAGACTTTTGTATTGTGGTTTTGTATTTCTTAAAATTTTAAGAAATATTAAAGTTTAAAAAATTGGTTTAAATAAAGGACTACCATTGAAACATGACCACACACACACACACACACACACACACACACACACACACACACACAATTTGTATGTCTTTGTGTTCAGTAGAGGGCACCACAGCACAAATCATGAATGTCTTCAATGAAGATTTGTTGGTTTTTTTTTTTCCTTATGGTAAGAACTAACAGGCTGAGTTAATTGTTTTTTCTACATCAAACAGCTAATCTTCCACCTACTATATAGATGTTATCTATTTCATTATATTGGGTTCCGAAGATCCAGGACATCTTTAGTTAGGAGTAAATAATTTTGCATAGCTATATATTCTCAATTAAAGCAACATACAGCTGGGCACAGTGGCTCACACCTGTAATCCCAGCACTTTGGGAGGCCGAGGTGAGAGGATTGCCTGAGCCTACAGGTTCGAGACCAGTCTGGGCAATTTGGTGAGACCTTATCTCTACAATAAATAAATAAATAAATAAATAAATAATTAGCTGGGTGTAGTGGCACATGCTTGTAGTTCCATCTACTTACAAGGCTGAGGCAGAAGGATCACCTGAGCCCAGCAGGTCGAGGCTGCGGTGGCCATGAGCGTGTCACTTCATTCCAGTCTGGGCGACAGAATGAGACTCCAACTAAAAAAAAAAAAAAAAAGCAACATAAAACATATCTAATAAAATCATGCTGAGGAAAACTAGAATTTCAACTGTGTCTAATTCAGGGAAAAAACAGGTTTTGCTTTGTTTAAAGTTGTTATGGGGAAAGGAATATCTTATGAGTTGCACTGTAATGTCTTTCTAGAAATTCCTTTAAAATCCTAGAGGCTATTTTTGGCTCTTTTTTTTAAAGGCTTAAAGAACATATACATTTATTTTTATGTAGGCTTTTTTGTTTTTTTTTTTTTGGGTCGGAATCTCACTGTGTCGCTCAGGCTGTAGTGCAATGGCATGCTCACAGCTACTGCAGCCTTGACCTGCAGCCTTGACCTGGCTCAGTTGATCCTCCAGCCTCAGCCTTCCAAGCAGCTGGAAATATAGGCATGTGCCACCACGCCAAGATAATTTTTTGATTTATTGGGGGAGACGAGGTCTTGCCAAGTTGCCCAGGCTGGTTTGGAACCTATGGGCTCAGGCAATCCTCTTGCCTCTGCCTCTCTTTTTTTTTTTAGACACCCTAGTCTAGAACATGGGCATCCTTTTTTTTTTTTTTGAGTTGGAGTCTCACTCTGTCGCCCAGACTGGAGTGCAGTGGCCGCTCCTGGCCAGCACAGCCTCAACCTGCCAGTCTCTGGCGATCCTCCCGCCTCAGCCTTCTAAGTAGCCGGAATTACGGGCATGCGCTACCATGCCCAGCTGATTTTTTGATTTATTGTAGAGATGAGGTCTCACCAAGTTGCCCAGGTGGGTCTCAAACCCGCGGCTCAGGCAATCCACTCACCTCAGCCTCCCAAGGCGTGGAATTACAGGCTGAGCCACTGAGCCAACGTGCCTCTACCTCTCAAAGTGCTGGAATTACAAGCGTGAGCCACTGCGCCTGGCCGATATGGAGGCTTCTAAAATGACATTTTATTGACTATTTTATAAAGTATGCTTTATATTAAGTTTGAAGTTGATTTTCTGCTATTTGATTTGTTTGCAGAAAATGTGGCACAAATATGACAAAGGAAAAACAAGATTGAGTATTATGTGGTGGCAGTCGCAACCCTGTCTGATAGACAGTAAACCAAATAATACTCAGAATTAACTAATTACGCTTACCACACTAGACGGGAAAACACTGAAAATTTTGCATTTCAAATTTCAGAATGATCTGACTGTAAAATAAAAAGATACTGCATTAAAAAAATTTTTTTTTGCTTACTTAAGACTCATACCGATGGAGTATGGTGGCATAAATTAAGTCAGCGAAGTAGAGGAGATTCTAAAAACCAAAACTATGCGTGACAGGTGTGCTGGTTTTGAACTCCGGACCTATGTGTGTTCAGATGTTCCCTCTCCCGTGAGCCGAGTGGACCTGGCTCCCTCTCCTTTCTCCGGTGTGCCCTCCAGATGGCAGTGTTGAGCAGAAGAGAAAACACGGAAATAATGAGTCTAATAATGTACAGTAAAATTGGAAATTGAATTATAGCTCAAGAAAAAGGACAGTAGCCTTGAGGTCCTGATCAACCTGGACTCTGATCACTTTGGTTTGCTGTACCCATGTGTTAAGTTACTCGCAAGTTAATAGCCGTGAGTAGTTCAAGGCTCAGTAGAATTGCTTTAGACGTGAAATAAAGCTAAAATGAATTTGTGTCCGATATCATTGGCATTAGTGCTCATTACTTTTGTGGTGTAATGCCTCAAACCATCTAAAATCAATTTTAAAGATTAACCATTATTTTATCAGGAAAATAAAACACGTTTCCAACAGAAACAAAGCAGTGAGTATAATCGTATGAACAGTTACTTGTTCCGTGCCGGGCAGGAAACCACTGGCGGAAGGCCACAGGAAGCGCTGGGGCTCACACTCACAGCGAATCCAAGTTACTATTAATGGGTTGTTGCTGTCTAACTCTTTTCGTAATTTGGAGTATTTGAAACAGGAATGGTAAGCATGTGTAAATGCAGAAAATAAATCCCAAAGAACAATAAAAAGGAATTTACAACTTAGCTACTTGTACTGGGTAAATGAATCTTTATCACATGACATGGTCATCTTCCAGGAGAACCCAAGGCAGAGGACATGGAGGGAAAGGAAGTATTTAGCTGCTTTGCTTGAGATTTTGCCTTTTTTTTTGTTTGAGTTGGTATCTCACTCTGTCCCCCAGGCTGGAGTCACAGCCACTGCAGCCCCAACCTGCTGGGCTCAGGCGATCCTTCCATCTCAGCCTTCCGAGTAGCTGGGACTACAGGGGTACACCACCACGCCTGGCTAATTTTTGATTGATTGCAGAGAACGAGGTCTTGCCAAGTTGCTGAGACTGGTCTTGAACCTGTGGGTTCAGGCAGTCCTCTCACCTTGGCCTCTCAAAATGCTAGGATTACAGGCATGAGTCACCGTGCCCGGACTAGAGATTTTGCCTTTTGAAAAACCAGAGGTTTTACTTTTCCTTTTGGCAGACCAGCAAAGAGTATTTTCTCAAACTATGTTTGTAAGCCTGTTGTAGCAAAGGAGACAGCTACATATAGATACTGGTTTTGATACTATGCATTTTTAGATATTTGCTTTTTTGAAGAAATAATTTTTTTATTTTGAAGATAATAACTTGATATTCTAGTGACCTTGTATTTTTCACTAAATTGATATTAATGCTCAAAAGAGATTGAGTTTCCTAATTACTTGTTTAAACATGCAGAATATAAGGTAAGGTTCATTTGGTCTGAAATACATGATGTATTTTTCATAGATCTCTATGTAAACTATTAACAGAGACTACATTATCATATGTCAGAATCTCTGTTCAAAAGATAAAGCCAGTTTTTATCTAAATATAAAGGTATACTTGATTTGATTGGACTTGATTTGATTATACTCCACTTGATTTCATATTCTAAGATATGCATTTCAGAAAAAAACACATTGATAATATGAATTTGAGTACGTGTAGATTTTACTATGAGATAGTTTTTAATCTTTCATGTGGTTCTCATACAGTAGTTGAAATCTGTACTATCTCTGCAAACTGTGATCTTGAATGCAGGAAGATCAGTATGCACTTATCACAAAATTGTCATATTTTCATTATATATGTATATATGGTAAAATTGGCTAGAATCACTTTTATTTGGTTGCTCATTTTGACAACATAGAGATGTAATATTGCTGAAAATTTTGGAGAAATTTCTAGTCAACCTTAAGTATTAAAAAAAAAAATCTTTCACATGAGCAAACACGTACTCATGTGCTTAAGTGTAAAATTTTAAAACGTAAAACATGCTGAGAAATGTATTGACTGTCATATAATTTTTAATAGTAGTTGAAAGTTTTGATGTTTCACGTCAGCCCATCCAATACCGCTGGCAGTAAATTTTTTTTAAAGCAGAATAAATTTCTATGACTATATAAGCAAAATATTTCCATAATTAATCCACATGGTCATAACAGATGGTTAAATTGAAGAAATGTCCTTGATGTTATTCTTTTAGCAGATGTTCTTAACTATTAGCTTCATGTTTTTACTCACCTAAATTTCCAAATAATTGGATACAAGTTAACATATGCTTTCATCTCTTTAACAGGCAGAGCCCATCATTGAGGCAAAGTTTGCCACAGTAGAGGAATGACTTCAGTGGCACATTTCTACAGTTTCTCTCTCCTCCCCATCACTGCCCACTCCTGTTCACCCGTTATCTCTCCTTCTTTCCTTTCACAGAGTCCTGCAGAATGCACTTCTGCTTTCAGACAGCAGCCTTCACCTCTTCCTGCAGAGCCATCTGAACTCAGATGACATCGAGGCGTGCGTTTCCGGGCAGACCAAGTACTCTGTGGAGGAGGCAATTCACAAGTTTGCCTTGATGAACAGACGTTTCCCTGAAGAAGATGAGGGGAAAAAAGAAAATGACATAGATTATGATTCAGAAAGGTATTTCCTTGCGGTTTGATTTAATGTATACATATTTATACAACACACAGTGCCTAGATGCATGCGTATAGATATATACGCACACTTCTCTTTTTTGTTGATGTAATACTAAGATAATGAAAAAATTAATTGACTGAGATTTTATTGAGCTGTGACAGCTCATCATAGTAGTCTTCACACACACCTCCACACTGAATTAATGAATGCAGTAGAAATTCAATTATCTGCATTCTGATTATGTGACTTTCATTTAGTCAGACTTGAATTATTCGCGTTTAAATTATCTAGCTAAAAAAATATCCAACTGCACTCCAAATGGCTAATTAAAAGTCCAAATTTCCTGTCTCTCTTTGTGACTGGAGATAATTAAAGTTCTCCTCTGTTACTCAGGCTTTGAGTGTGTTGTGAAAACCAATTTCCTCTTTTTATTATTTTCCCCCTCTCTTCTTTTCCAGTTCATCCTCTGGGCTTGGACACAGTAGTGATGACAGCAGTTCACATGGATGTAAAATAAGAACCACTCCGCAGGAATCCTAAAAGAGAATTCTAACGTCACTATCTTAGGAACTGCAAATTATGTCCAGTCAGGGAGAAGGAAGCTTGGGAATAATACATTCCTACCTAACGCTCACCGTCATGATATTAGGTATTCAAATTCTTAAAGATGTCGGGTTATTAGTGGCGTTTTGATGTTGTTTTATTTTAGCTAAGCTTCTGTATAAAGCTAAAATCCTGTGAATGCCATGCTATCCTTTGTAGGCAGCCGTGATTGGTAAACAAGATCTTGCCCTCAAATGAAATGATTTGTTTGGAGAAAAAACAAACCTATTTGGTTTTATTGAATTTTAAAAGATAGGTAAATAAGTAGTATTGAAAATCAAGATAGAGCATTCCTTCTTGAATCAATGGGGCAGTGTTGCTGTAAACAGAGCGTATATGGTATTAACCACTATGAAGAATTATAGTGTAGACCAGACTGCCTCTCTCAGACATGTGGCTGACATTTTGTGGGTACCCGCCTTGCACTGGCAAAACACTATGCTTTTGAGTGTTTGACTGAAATATTTTAAGAGTATTTAACCTTTCCAGTATTCTGTTTCACTCTTAGATGGAAAATGTATCTTATGAATAGAGACGTATTAAAATAATGTTTACACCTTAGGAAAAACAGAAATAGTGCTAGTAATTTTACTTATAATTGCAATATATAGACTCAGAAATACATTTTCACTGTCCAAAATCAGCTTAAACAAATGGATTCTGGAAACAAATCACTTATTTTCATTATCATAGTTTAATTAAGATTACAGGTTAATGACTTATTTTCTGACTGAATGTGCAGTTTCTTATCACTAGATAACTTTCAGTATCAGTGGTGGTTATTTATTACTTAAATCAAGAGAAGGATCTTATTAGTTTAATTTTACCAATAAATTTTTCCATAATTTAGAAAAGGAGGTAACTTGCCAATTTTAGAATTAATTATTCATTTTTTTAAAAAGCCCTTTCTTTTAAAACAGTCTACTTGAAGTCTGGCCTAATTTTAACAAAATATCTTTTTTTTTTTTTTTTAGTGTACCAAAGATAAGATGTCTTAGATAAACTACTTTGAACTTCAAATTTCAGATGAGGCAGCATTTTCTTGAGATAATTACCCAAGTTTCTTCCTTGTTGGATGGTACGAAATATGTCTGTGAAACTAACAGGAAGATATTTTCCCATAACTGGGATAACTTGTTGCTTTAATTAAATGTTACCCAGCCTAATTGGAGAGCTGCAGAGGCTACTGCAAAAGCAACCTTTTCATTTCAAGCAGGATTTAATAGTTACATTATTAAAAGGTATTTGAGATGTTTGTTTCAAAGAACCAGCAGGAATAAAAAAAATAAGAAACTAAGAACCAATAGAAAAAAATTAAATTTAGAATAAGAATGATTTATTTAATTTGTCCTTTTTAATTCCCATCTGCAATGACTTTAAATAATTTGTTCTTTTAAAAAATTTTTCTTGGTTTGGTTTAAAACATTATTAAATTTTTGTAAATATTTTAATTTAATGTGTCTTAAATTCTCATTATTTTAATATAGGAAAGGAAAAGATTTAGCACTTTATCTTGCTAACATGTAAAGTTTTCCATCTGGGCAGTTAAGAGTATTTAAAATCTCCCTCCCCTCAGCAACATGTATTTGAATTCACAATATTTCTGTTTTATAGCAGCTTTGAAAAGCATATCTGTGCCACCAACTGTTATATTCTTTTAGATGATGTAATACAGACATCAAAATTAATATTAAGTAATACCTAATATTTGGTATGTAAACGTCATGGGATCATCATTTTCACATTAAACATGAAAAAAGGAAACTTGGCTGGTTCATTTATTTTATGCAAAAGAATATATTTCTTCTGACTTAGACCAAAACTTGGGCGGTTTTGAATTAACTGGCAATTTGTTATGAAGAACGCTAGTAAAACTTGGTTCAGTATTCACCATAGTTGTACATATTTGAGGCTTTCAGTCTTCCTTGGGTTGTTTTGATATCTGAGCACTGGCTTCTTAAAGCTGATCTCTTGCAGATGAGATATTTAGAGGAACTTTCACTCCCATTGATCTTCTTGCTTTGTCTCTTATTTTTCTCTGGCATATTTCTATAAAGCTTTCTTTAGGAAAAAATAATTACTTATGTAACTAAACTAAATAGAACAGATGTTTATTTAGCCCTATTGTAAAATGTGACTTAAATTTAAAGGATTCTTATCCTGGATGCTTTGTGATTTACAGTACAGCAAAACTGTATTACCCTGGTTAATTCTGAAAGCATAAATGATTTACCTCTCAAGCCAGCTTATATGTTTGGTTTTAGAACTAGATTTATATGCAACATCATATGAAAGTCAACAACCTGTTACATAAGGCTTCTTTTAAAATCTTACTTGGAAGAAAATGATTTAATTCTAGTGAACATTTCAAGTTTTAAAAATTACTAGGAAAAACCCAAATGTTTATATTTAAGCAGCTATTATCCTTTAAGAGATTAAATATCTTGCTAGTTTTTCAAACCGAGTACACATTTTATTGAATATTTAAATACAAATGCTATGCAATATAAAGTAAAAAGACAAAAAGTTGAAATGACTACTAAGATTCTAAAGAAGTCCAGTTAGCCTAGCCACAACTGCCATTATGTCTAACAGTAAATTGGATGTCGTTTTGAACTCAGTTTGCTGTTTTTTGGTGCCTTAAGGATTCTATCATTAGTTAGCTACTTTGATACACATAAGGTTTTAAAGTATTTGAACTGTAAAGGAAGACCCTTTTTCATGAAAGGCCTTTAACATTTTAAGACAAAAATAACAAAAGCTTAATCTGTTTTTAAAAAGTCTTCCTACTCATCTTTAAATTACTTAGTTGATATCCTATGAACACAACACATCTTTTCAACGGAGGAAACCACTGATTTCAATCGTTTTGTGTTTTTGTTTGGAATACAGACTTTTTCTTAGTTGACATAAACACATTTTCAGATACAAAACACTGTCTGAGATTAGTTACTGCAATCTGACATTCAAAGCATAGATACAATTTTCTTTGCAAATAAAGACCATAAGAAATTAATACATTTTTAATAGAGTGGAGTTCCAAAATTGTAGGATGGAAACACACAACGATTTCTTTAACATTTGCTCTGTTTACAAAGGACTTTGATTCTCTTCTTTGCCGTCAGCATCCTACAGACGAGTCACCATTGGTCCCTTTCAGTCAGACACCATTGCTCTTCCCTCTTGCTGGAAACTTTTCTAGATCATTGTGCTGAGCGGTGCATTGGACATTTATTTTGGCCGCGCAAACTCTGGTCGTTAATGACCTCTTTCTCTTTCTGCAAAATCCCAAAGACTTCTTTTCAAAAGATAGGGCGGAAAAGAGGAAAAAAAAAAAAAAAAAATAAGCGACCATTTTCTGCTGAATTTAAACGCAGGTCCAGCGACACGATGCTATGCAAATGGCTTATGCGAAAGAGGAAAATACCCTTTCTCCCCGGCGAGCAGTGTAGATTCACTCCAAAGCCCACACCGCTGGTCTCTGCTGCGGGAGGCGCGGCGCGGGCATAACTTGTGGCGGTGCTTTTGCTAGTTTCTTACCTCTGGGCCTTCTTTACGGCTCTGCCCCCCACCCCGCCGGCGGCGGC